AACTCAGTGCAAAGGCCCTGGACTTAATCTGCAAAAAAAAAAAAAAAAAAAAATTAGTAGCTGGGCGTGGTGGCGCACATCTGTAATCCCAGCACTTGGGATGCTGAGGCAGGAGGATTGTTTAGTTTGAGACCATCCTGGGCTACAAAGTGAACTCAAGGCCAGCCTGAACTGCATAGTGAGACCTTGTCTCAGAAAGACAAAAAAAAAGCCCCCCCATTATTATGTTATCCTTCTTTTACTCTTTAAAGTAAAAATTAAAATATTCCTTAGCTTTTAAAAAACTTTCAGGGCCGAGGGTATAGCTCAGTGGCCCAAGTGCCTGCCTGGCAAGTATAAGGTCCTGAGTTGGATCCCTAGTACCCCCCCCCCCCAAAAAAAAAAAAAAGGCTTGAAATAAGTTGTAAAATATTAATTAAAATAATGATGATACATGATGATCTTTAATTTAATTCAAAAGTTTCCCCATTTGGCCCTATGGGTTGCCAGCTATATTTTCTCATTTATAGGGGCAGTTGAAGTTATTCCAATTCTGTCATGAATTCAACACCTTGATCAGAGTTTGCAAAAATTAGTAAGTCTTAAATGGGAGTGTTGGTGCATACCTGTAATTCTCAGCACTTGGGAGGCTGAGGCAGGAGGATTGTTTTGAGTTTGAGACCAGCCTGGGCTACAAAGTGAGCTCAAGGCCAGCTTGAACTGCATAGTGAGACCCCATCTCAAAAAAACAAAAACAAAACAACCCTTCCAGAAAAACCAGGCTGAACTACATAGTGAGACTGTTTCAAAAAAATAAATATATATATGTATATATACACACACACATATATACATATATATATATTCCTTAGCTTTTAAAAAACTTTAAGGGCTGAGGGTATAGCTCAGTGGCACAAGCGCTTGCCTGGCAAGCATAAGGTCTTGAGTTTGATCCCCAGTACCAAAAAAAAAAAAAAAAGAAAAAAAGAAAAGAAAAGAAAAAAAAGGTAGGTGGATTATGAGTTTGAGCCCTGCTTGGGCAATTTAGCAACTTGACTCTATCTCAATATAATGAATAAAAAGAATTGAGGGTGTAGCTCAGTGAGAAGATTTTGGGTTCAATCCCCAATAAAGGCAAAAAAATAAGTATTTCTACTTTTATGGTTTATGATATACTGGCAGAGATTAAAAATAAGGCACATAATTATAACTAGGCAGATGGAAGAGAGCATATTTAGTGG